AGTGGTAATGGAGATATGGTGATATTAATAGAAAGGAGAAAGGAGTAAAAGAAAACACGGGTCTAAACTGCAACACAAACTTAGAGAAACAGCCATGAAAACCATAGAAAGACCATTTCGCCTTCCAAAGTAATATCTGAACGGCCAAAGGGGCAAAATAATCTTCTTTTCAGGAAAAAAGGGGGGTCAGGCCCTCCTCTCTCTGGCAGGCACCTCTCCCCAGTCTTCCCAAAGTGGTGCAACGTCCCAGTCCTGGCATCGCCCTGCTGTGGCCAGCAAGGTCGCCTAGGGTGAGCCAGACCAGGCGATCCGTCCGAAAACATGTTTGAGTTCCCACAAAGCCAGGACTGACCCTGACTGCTGGTTTTGTTTTGTTTTGTTTTTAAATCCAGCAGGCTGGAAGCAATTTTTCTGCTTCTCTTTTTGCTTCTTGAGCAAAAAAAAAAGTGGAGTTTATAACTGGGGTAGACTGCTGTTTTATTCAAACTTCGGTGAACTGTTGCGGGTGCTTTCAGAAAATGGTGTTCATGCATTGCATGACTTTCTCATTAGCCCAGCCAGCGACAAAACACCCCTGTATGGAAATAAATATATCCAAGATATTCTACAAAGAGGATGCTGGAGGCTGGCCCAGGCTTTTTAACATGCCAGTTTTCTATTTCATTCTTTTATTTGTTTATTGTTTTTTTAAGTTTATCTTTTTTACAAAGTAAAAACAATGCAAATTTAAAGAAAAAAGAAAGAAAAGAAAAAAGGAAAGTGATAAGAAAATGGGAAAGAAAAAGAAAAAAGATATAAAGAAGTGGCTTCTGATCTTCTTTGTTGTTGTTCAGTCGTTAAGTCGTGTCCGACTCTGATCTTCTTTACAGCAGTTATAAATGCATTTATATTGTATCCTCTCTCTAAGGTTACATCATATCTCCCTTCTTTCCATATTCGACCCTTTGTAATCATGAAACCCATAGATCACAAGTTCAACGTGGTAATTTTTTGATAAAGTCAAATCTTGGCCTTCTTTAGGAATTAATGCTATATTGGCCTCTATCCAACTATGGTATTCTTCTATTCTGTAAAATAGAATTCGTCATTTTTTGCATAGGTTGTAATAGTTCATCCTCCAAATGTTTAAAATAGGAAGCTGGTAGGCCATCTGGTCCAGGCACTTTCCCTATTTTAGTCTTTTTTATAGCTTCACAGATTTCCCTTATTGTAATAGGTCCATTCATGATTTGTTTCTGTGTATCAGTAAGCCTGGGTAAATTTTGTTTCTTTAAATACATCAACTTTCGCTGGGGAAATTTCTTTTCCTTTTATATAATTTTGAATAATACTGATGGAACATTTTTTGTATCCTTACATTGTCTGTTGTCATAATATTTCCATCTTGTAATTTCAGTATCCTTTTTTATTTTCTTTTTTTGTAGTTTATATGCCAACCATTTCCCTGGCTTTTTTGCAAATTATTATTTTTTTGCTTGTTTTGGTGAGTCAGCCTTCCTTCTGAATTACAGAAAGTAAAGAAAAGAGGAAAACGATATTTTTAGGAGACTTTAAAATAACAGCAAAGAGCTTAACAAGACTTTGACTGAAGAAGGTTACAAACAGATAAAGGGGATTGTATACATGTGAAAGATTTAGCGAAGTTACAAACATGAACAGTAATTTTTTAAAATCCTTATGAACCTCTTTCAGATTTGCCCCTTTTTCAGGTTTGTCCTTTATTTTTTTCCAAGAAAATGTGGTCACCGTAAATGTATCATGTGGACATGACCAGACTGTTTTTTTGACAGAAAAGATTACTTTTAGCATTATACTTTTAACATTAATATGTGCTAATGTGTGTCATCATCCACTAAACAATGGATGTGCAGAAAACAAAACCAAGGATGTGGACTGCCTTGCTAAAATCAGAACTTTCTAACAAAACAGCAAGGTTTACGTTAAATTATGGGATTATCTTTCACTAAGAGGATTCAGTGTTTTTGGAGGCCCCAGTTGGTTGGAAAAATTCCGCAGGCCTGGACTTTGTCCTGATTGTAGGTCATTAAACTCTCAGTGACTGTCCAGGAGAGCAAGCTGTCCTCTACCTGTAGCTACCTTTAGCCTGCCTAGGGTTGCAATCCATATTGGGTAGAGCTGAAATTTCTGATTAACTCTCTTTGGACAATCTCACAGGTGGGAAACAGATAAGAACAACTGTGTAAGCCCCAAAATAGACAGAATATTACCCCTCTCTAAATTCTGTCCTCCGGTGATGCCATTACAGCATCATATGGCCCCTTGTGGATCTTGATGGTTGAAAATAATTTAAGAACTGCGAAAAAACTCCTCATCCCTAGCTTAGCATCAAGTGCAAATCTGAATTTTAGGTAAATTAAGATTTTGCAACAGGTACTCTCTTGAAAGGACCATCTTCCCCACAAAACCAATGACAGAAGCCCTCTTCTGAGATTCTACCTTGCACCTATTAACTTCTGCATATTTTTTTAAAAAATCTGAGGGGAAGCATCTCTTTTCAATCAATCAAAAGGTGTTTAAGTGCATTAAGTCATCAGACTGAATGATTGCAATCCTAACTTTTAATTTTGCATGTGACTTCGATGTGTCCTTTGCTCTGATTTCTGTCTTTAGCAACATATTTGCTTGTATAGATTGACGTCTATTGAGATAATGACAGGATTTTTCCAAATTGGGTGAAGATCTTCCCCTATTTAGCCAACCAGCATATTCGTCACTTGACTTGAGGGCTACAGTTTTTTAGTATTTGCTGAAGAGATGATTTGTCAGTTGAGCATGAAAAGGATGAATGGTCAGACTGGATGCTGATGACAAATATTGACTCTGGTTTGTAGAAAAGTGAACTTTGTCCTGAGAAGGAGAAACCAACATTCCTGAAAATGGAAAAAGAAGCATCTGTTGAAGCTCCAAAATCTCCCCAAGAGACCATCATTAAAGAAGAGGTATGTGGGGTGTAATCTGGGGCATTTTACTCCAGTGCAATTTACTGGGATCAATATTATGGTCAATAACAGCAGAGTTTTTTTTTTGTTTGTTTTTTGCACATGCAGTATTTCCCACTGTGAAAATGTGAAAGTGACCCTTTCAGATGATTTAGCAAAAACATTTCCCCAAGTTCAGTTGCTTTTAAATCCTACTTTTTGTTAGAATACGAGTTTGGATATCAGAAGATACTTGGCAATGTACGAAGGGTCTGGAGGTTACGGGATGGGCGGGCTACGGTCCAGAAGTCTTAATGAAAGAGGACCTGTGGCCTTAGTGGAGCACCACTGAACGTTGATGAAGGCAGCATCCTAACCATGTTAGAGAGTAACTGTCATTGAATATGCGACCTACTTCTGTGTAAGCAAGCTTAGGAATCCTTTTAAAATCTATGGCCTGGATTTCAGTGAAGACTTTGTAGATATATTAGGTGAATTTTAGATGTTAGTAATCAAGTGTCTATTGACTTATAAGTGATATGGGAAAGTGCTAATAAAGGAGATTTTTTTGCTCTTTCTCCACAATGCTCATAAATCAGATCTGTTTTACATCTTATGGCGGATGAGAAGAGCTGTGACAGTCTGTAGCTGTCCAGCGTTCCTCAGGGAGACTTGATCAGTGCAATAAAACACCATGTGGTTCTTTCTCAGTAATGGGTCTTCCTTGCATTGAGATCTTTTGGGCTTTTATTTTGTCTCTTATCTCACAGCAGGTAACTGTGAGATAAAACAGCTGGATGCCAGGATAAATCTGCTCTGGTTTATCCTAGGAACCAATTTCTGATCCTTGATAACTTTAGTGAAACCTTTTAAATCCTTGTTCAAATTTCACACAACGTTATAAGTCCCAACCAAATTAACCATATTATATCAAAGGCAACCCGTATGTAGGTTTATCTGCAAGCACACGTGTGCGGTACAAGCCATGAAGAAGTCACGAGTATCATGACATCATCACACAAATGATGCAATTAATTAATTTGTGCTACGTTACTGATGATAATTATATAATTTGCATCCTTTGTGCGATGAGCTCATGCATGATGTCACTTGCTCCCCCAGATTATAGTTACCTGCAAGTCCTGTTGTGATCTCTCTCTCATGTAAGTGAGCCTAAAGTTG